GGGGCTGTCAGGAGAAGGGTGTAGAGAGCGGTTGGGGCAGGCAAGGGACAGGGAATGGGGGGGTTAGATTGGTTGGGGGTTCTGGGGGGGGGTTTCGGGAGAAGGGGTGTAGAGAGTGGTTGGGGCAGTCAGGGCAGGGAGGCTTAGATGGGGGTGGGGTCCTGGGGGCAGTTAGGGTGAGGGGTCTCAGGAGGGGGCAGTCAGGGGACAGGTAGAGGGTAGGGGGGTTCTGAGGGGGCAGGGCGGGCAGGGCTAGGGCGGCACCCTGTGTCCTCTTTTTTGATTGTTGAAATATGGTAACCCTACCCGATACCTCCCACACTACTTCTGATTCTGATCAAACACTACATGTAAGTTCAGACTCTAAGCAATTAGTTTTCAAAGTTACAGTTTTGCACCATTTGGCCTCCAGATACATTGGTGTAAATGCATAGTAACTACTTCATGTCAGTGGAGTTAGTCTCTTTTTACACAGGTATAAAAGATTAGTATCGAGCCCCTTCCATGTGTGTTTCACATTTCTGGCACATCCACAAAGATTCTTCTACATTTAGAAATAGTTTCACATTAAACAGATTCTTCTCTTTAAAGATTCAGTACAATGAACTTTCAATGTTCAAGACTGTCAAGCGAGAATCAAGTTTCTTCTTAGTCTCAGAACTTCCAGCTACAGTATAGGGAAGGCACAGGGTGCTTGCAGCCTTCTGCCTATTTTTGGTTCCCCAACTTAGAAAGGACAGTTTTGGAGTGGCTTTCTTGGTCTCGTTGATTTTATCCTCTTCCATGGCTAAGCAGATTAAGGAGTATGTCTTTTGCATTCCCACAGAGTAAGTGGCACTCTTATTATGCTGTAGGAAAAGGAAAGGGAAGAGGAAGCATTGATTTTTTTTTTAATCATCTTTAGACATACTAAATATAAGTTTGCACAGTGTGTGAATCATTTTCCAAGTCAGACTGTAGTATTCTTCTGCATTAATTACATTCTAACTGAATACAAGCCCATCCAGAGTGCTGAAGATTGAAGTATTTTGCTTATGTCTGGATACAAGTGACACAAAAGGCAAATAAATCCTAATGAGACGTGTCCTCTGGTGAATCTTTCTGCAAAGATTGTCTGAAAAGTGTTAAAAATAATTCTAGATCCCAATAAGAGTTGTCAAGGGAAATGGAGTAATTGTGTGAGTAAACTGGCTTTGCAAAGAGCTCTCCATGGATATCCTCTTTTCTTGGGCCTCAGAGCACAAGAGTGCCTGCTACTACAGCCTGTAGGGTTTGCCTTGTAGCCCCAGTGAGCGTTCACCAGGCTGGCCCCCAGCTCTTCTCCCCAGTGCTACAGGGGGAGCTGCAATGGGACACTCCTATAAGATGCTCATAAGGTAGAGTCCCCTATATGGCTTATCCACAGCCACATCCTGCAGCGATTCCATTGTATTCCAGCCTTCTGTTCTGGCAAAAGGCTGGGGAGGGGAGGTGCCAGGTTGTTCTTGGCTATTACTTATACTGTGGTTGACTTATATTCACAAAAGAGAGACTTAGACCTGGGGAAATGATCAATTTATGAAGTCAAAATACAGGATGGCAATAGCATGTGCCTAAACCTTGCTGGGGAATGCTGGAAGGTATGCAGCATTAGGCTTAGCTGAACTATAGGTTCTTTATTTTGCTCACACTACAAAAATTATTTTCTCTTGAGTTACTTAGGGTTTAACTTTTTTTTTTAAATCTTGTGATCATTTTCCCTGGGTCTAAAATTTCTATAGCAACTAAGTAACTGGATTTATATATTTTTGATTGGCAGGGTTAAAACAGTCCCTTAACCCCTAAATACATAAGTCAAGGCTGCTGATCCCATCTGTTCATAGAAATAGTGGATTGAGCACATAGCCAAGAGTTGAAAGACTTGGGCTCTCTTCTCTACTCTGCCACTGACTGTGTGTGTGCTTCTCAATGTGGAGAAGTTTGTTTTTGGTTTTTTTTTCTGTCTAGTGCTACCAAATGTGGGGGTGAGGGGGCCTGGTGTTTTTTTTAACCACTGAGTAGATAGTGCACCCTGTCTACAGTACTACTTCCATTAGTGGAGCTGCATGGGCAGAGAAAAATGTTTACAAATATTCCCAGAGTAAACATCATATGTGACCATGGGCAAGTCCATTCACTTCTTTCTATTAGAGAGTTGCTCCATTTGTCAAGTGAAAATGACCCCACCTTTTTTAAATCACTCTGAGATGTATCCATGAAAATGCATGGTGGAAAGTGGTGGTGATACAGTATTTATAACTTTTTTTTGTCCGATTTTTTGTATACACAAACTAAGATGGTTTGGTTTTGGGTTTTTTTAAGTTTAACAGTTTTGAGTTCGCAGCCAGACAGTCTGAACGATAGCATTGATTGCAGGCTATTTGGGACATAAATTGTCTTCTCGTAGATGCACGTGCAGTAATTAGCACAATGGGGGTCTCAATCCTGTATTAGGGGTTTGTGCTACAATACAACTACAGTGTAAACTTTCAACTTAAAGGTTCGGGGAGAGGGAAAACTTGAAGACAAACACAGGCCTCTCTCTGCACTAAAGATATTGTCTAATTTGTCTGTTGCCAGTGCTAGTAATAGTAAAGCAGCAGTGTAGACCACCTGTTGTTATACAATACGCTGACAAAAATGCCAGCAGCCATTTTAGACCATCGGCCTTTACTACCATTTGTGAATATGCATGGGAGGTAAGCATGATATTTGCAGGGAGAAAGTCTAAAGTACAACCTCAACTTTCCAGTCTTGCCTATACTATGAAACAGAAATGTTAATGAAAATGGTTTTAAGCAACAGTTTTCCCAAAAGGCTTAAGTGCTAGAACCAAATCTCTACCATGATTTCTGACACAGTAGTAAACCGTTTCCCACACAGTGAAACGTCTGATTCAACAGACCTTAGTAGTACTACCCAGAAAGACCACAGATTTGGTTTGATGGGTTTGTCATCAACGAAGCACGGTCTGTGCCCTGGCTCCATGGTTACAAATGTACTAATACATGTATGCTTGTGACAATGGACCAGCTCAGTCAGCAGCAGAAATTTCTGCTGCCCCCTCTGCTGGAGAAAGGTGCCCCTTCTATGACTTTTCCTTTCATCCATTGGTTCAAACAAGTTATGTATTACATTCCTGATGTCGTAGATTACCAACCCTATGCCTTGTATCTGTTGGTTTGAACAAAGCTTCCTCATTCCTTATCCTGTTCTGCTATCCTTGTCTTACTCAGGGTTGGTGTGTTCCTGTACTATCGCCTATGTGTTTATATTATACCTCTACATTGGGGTGTACCTGTACTAGCCTTCTGGAATGTGTTTACATGAGTATGTAGTACTTCTTAGAAGTGCCTATGTTTTAGCAATGCTTGCCATGCCTTTGCTAAGTTAATGTACCAGACAGTGAACTTGTAAGCAAGCATCTGCTTTATGACAGGGTCTGACATTTGGTCATAGCATTGCTTTTGCTGACTCGCATCTTGCACCAGGCCCCAGGCGCTCTCTCTAGCACAGCAGGCACTTCATGGAAGTAGGGCTCTTGAAGGCATGATGCCATGGAATGGGAAGCAGGGAGGGGGTCCATGAGCCTAGCTAGATGTCCCAACAGCTACAGGAATTCCTTGCAGAATTCAAGCCTCCCCCCTGCCCTCCTTGTGTTTCAGGGCAGAGCACCATACCAATTTTGGGTCAAGGGGGGAGCTACAGAAGACAAATCTCCACCCTCATGGTCAATTTGGAAAGAAAACTGATGTAACTCTTGAAATTACCAGTCGGATTAGTCTTTGTGGAGTTTCACTGCTAAAGCTGGCAAGATGGCCCTACATATATAGGAATCACCTAGGGCCTTCATTAAGCAAAGCATTTACACGTAGGCTTAACTGTAAGCATGTGAGTAGACCCATTTATCGCAATGGAATCCTTTAAACACGTTTAACTGCTTTGCTGGATTGAGGCCTAGATTTACCAGCAATCCATGACATCTGGCTATATCAAATTAGATAGCATTCACTGCCCAAACCGAGGCAGTTTCTTCAATTTACTGAGTGTTCTTCAGGTTTAGAAAAGTAGCTGTCTCATTACTTACCACAGAAGTCATCGTATCCTGACAGCTAATAACCTTAATCTCAATTTCGTTCTCTCCCATGCTTTTGAACTTTTCCAAGACGTCATTCACTCCCAGCCATTTGGAATCCAGGCCATTAATTGAAACAATATAGTCCCCTTCTTTCAGACCCTTTAACTGTAAAATAATGTAGTGCAAATTAGCATCAGCTGCAGTTGTTGAAACGTTTCTTTCTCCAAAGGTGTTTTTCACCCCTTCCAGGCTTCATACAAAATTCATCGATCAGACAGCACAGGACAAAACACCCAAGCACCATTTTAATGCACACAAAATTGCCCTTTTTTGTGCACTGCCATACATTAATTTGACTAGAGCATAATTATTAAATTTTCCTATCTCCTGTTTGGGGTGTTTGCTTTTCTATTTTTCATTCATAAAAATCTTTAAATATTTCAAACTGTTGTTTAGTTTGGCTTTCCCATCATTACACTATTAGATGTTTTATCCTTCTGTAATATTTTTGTACTTTAATATAAACGTATTTAGTCTTATGCTTCTGCCTTTCACTGTGCTTTAGTTATGCCTCTTCTTTTCTCTTGTGAATGTTCTCTCTTCTCTGTATCCCTCCTTTTCCATTTCCTCTCATTCACAAAAGAGAATTGCATATTAGGAAGCACCAGTATATTCTTTTCCCTCCCATACTCTTTCTCCTTCGTTTCCTGATATTTGGCTCTATGCACTGCCTTTTTTCTTCCCCTTCTTTCTCATGGCTTTTCTCCTTCCAGCCTTCTGAAATAGATGGTGAATAATGGTATTTGATTATGGTACATGTGGGTCATCTTTATTTATTAAATGTACACAAAAGAAGGAATCAGTCCTAGTTTAGATTTTAAATTTGTAATCTTCACATTAGAGTCAGGTAATGTTAACGTTAACACTGCACTGCTAACCTGCTCAAATTGCAGACGCTGTATGTAATATGGCATTGCATTTAACAGCTTAATTAAAATCTCCAAATACTCCAAATGCCAATACAAGTGAGCTGCATTTCCTGATTTCAGGTGTTCAAATTATTACTTATCACTGCATTTATCTTGTCTTCTTTCATTTAAAATGGATAATGTCTATTGTTGGTGTGTTGTTGGTATTACATTTAGTTCTTTAAAAACCACACTGATGTGATTGGTACAGAGAATATTTTATTTACACCAATCTGGGTGCCTTACTGTTGCAGATGACTTGGCTAGATTGAGAAATCACAGCAAACTCAGAAGAACCTAGAGAGAAAATTATTAAAACTCCAATCTCTACTTACTGCTGCAGAACACTCTGGATCGAGACAGTGAACTTGCACGGGTGGGCCTCCTTTAAGAGTGAATCCCAATCCCCTTTCTTGATAATGGAAATTAATAGTGCGTGGGCCTGTCCATCTCTGCTTGGCTGAAAACACAGGCAATGGGCCCTGTAGGATGTAGAGTGGCAGAACGTAATCATTAACAGCAAAATGCAAAATGGCTCACAAGCAAGTATTAGGCATTATAGTATGCTACCTACCAGCCTCTCAAAGAAGTCTTTCACTTTCACCTTGGAGAACTGCGGAACAATCATTTCTACTTTATGCTCTGTTTTAGCTAAAACAAAAGTGAAAAAACATAAACTTGTTTTCAAGTTCCAGATTGACAGCCAGAGTCTGAAAAGCTTCTATTGGCAGGATGGGCAGAGGAAGCTTCACATGCTACCCCTTTTTACACTTAAGCTATTAGTTTCTCCTACACCACTACTAGACTGTAGGACAAGTAAGCTTGTCAGAACTCAACTTTTGTTGTTGGTTTTTATAATTTTAACAAATATCAGTGTTTTTTTATTTTAAGGGCTTTTTTAAATCAATTTAAATGTTCACAGTTGTGGGAAACAGGGCCAGACAATTATTTAATGACAGACACAGATTCAAAACCTTAAAACTTTAACTATTAAAACCCAAATTGTCAACATCACATATGAAAATATACAAAGTAAATATCCTTCAACTCCAATAAGTTCTCAAGCAGTATTTTTCTTACTTTGCCAGTTTGTAAATTTTGATTATTATTGATGGAAATATTTGTGTGCATGTGTACAGCAAAACTGACATTTATCAACATTTGCCAATTAAAAATCTAATCCTTCCGAGCCTCAGAACATATGGAGACAGACATCATTATCTTAGCAAGATGAAATGTCAGGTTCCACAAGGCTTCTTCAGAGTATATACTAAAAACCCAAAGAAAAGAACCCAGTCTGTTTATGCTTTTTAAAGGGGTTGCTGGTCTGACTGATGCAGGAGGAAGCAGTAGCATTCAGGTTCACAGTCAACTAACTTCTCTTTCCTATATGCTCTCCTATAGTACAGATCTTATGCAAATAACTGTGGGAAGAAATTAAAAATATAACACAAAGCAAACCACATTTTATAGCCAGAGAGAGATTTTAACTAATAGAAGGTGCTTTCTTCACCCACCATAGCCCACGATATCTGGAAGATGCATTCACTGAAGACTGACACACTTTAAGGAGACCTTCTTACAATCATCCCCTAAATATGAAGGTGCAAAGTAGGCTTCCTGAAATCTGATCTCAGGCAACCAGCCTATATGGTGTGAATGTGCTTAGAGGCACCGAAGTAGAAAAACTGCACAATTATTTCACTGTTACTTTTGGGACTAATCAACAGACTCTAAGTTCACTGTACAAAACATGCTTCTCCATGCACTTTGGCCACAAATTTTTTGATGTGTAACTCGAGACACCTTTAAAGGGGGCTGGTTTTTTAGAAGTGGGTGCTTACCACTTTCTGGAAACTAGGCCCCTTTTAACATGCATTAACTTGGACACCCAAAATTGCTAGTCCCTTTAGAAAACCTTGATTTTCATTTGGGGATACTTACGAAGGACAGTGGAAGCTTCCATTAAACTCAGGAAGTCATCTTCCTGTTCATGCTGAGCATACTTAGTAAGTGAACGCTTGTGAGCAACTGACAGAATCTCCTGAAGAATGTCAATATTCCGAAGCTTTTTGCACAAACCACAGACCCTCAGTGCTTCTTCATGATAAACAATGGCTTTGCGTAAATGTGCTTTCCCTAAAGAAAGTAGAAACCATTAGCAATCGCTTGCCTTTTATTTATTTTAACTGTAATGTAAACAATACATAAGGCTAAGATGATTTTTCTAACAATCTTCACCAAACATTTTATCCCACAGGAAGGCAAGGCTGAAGGCCCAATCGTGTGATTCTCCATCAACTAAGTGATTCTCATGTGACTAGGTCCCACTGATTTTGTGGGAGCAACAGCATGAGTAAAGATTACTTATTCACTTAAGTGTTGCAGAATCAAACCCTTGGTTTAAGATTTAACTTGATTACATCAGTGTTTTTAGTGCCTATGTATTCCTAATATAGACACATTTGCAAAAGTAAGTCAGCTTCATGTATAATTCTGAGTCACTGTAACACAAGAAGTTGGACTACATTCTGCCACATTTCAATTGATTTTAATGAGCTACATGGTGTAACAGAACCAAATTCATCCCATTATTGCCACAGCTTGAATTTTGAGAAACAGACACGTTTTTCTCTCTAAAACATAACATTCCTCTTAACTGACACACTTAATAGTCGGAACACACCAGTTATAATCATGTAATAAAACTGATTACATGAGCTTTGCTTGATGCAGCTATAGCATATATATTCCGCTAACTATATCTATTTGTATCAGATAATATTTCTCTGTATTGTAATTTAGAACAGTTATACACTTGTTGAATGGAGTCTGCAATTACCTAATCGTTTTCGCTGAACTTTATCTCTTAAAATGGCTAGGGACGTCAATCCTTCTGGCATGTAGTCATGCAGCTGGGACCAGGCCTTTTCCTGTTTGTCTTCATCATCGCTGGGATGCACTATATCAACATACATAAAATGTTAGCTACTTTAATGTGTCTCCGTGTCAGGTGCCTTCAGGCAGGTGGACTGCAGAAGGAGAGGTCGGGGGAGAGTAAGTAGTAACATTTTGGAAACATTCTTCTAAATATGTGATTTCACTCCAGATTATTATTTTGACCTTTTTTTTTAATCAAGAACTAATTTTACTAAATGCTGCCTGAACTCTAATTTTCTATTCATGAGAACTGATTAACTTAGTGATATTACTTAGCTCATATATAACACTTATAACTGATTAACTTAGTGATATTACTTAGCTCATATATAACACAAATCTCTTTGTAAGTATTAGCTAATAAACGTTCTCAATACTCCTGGAAAGAAGGGCAGAAAGCATTATTTCTATATTCCAGATGGGGAAAATGACAGAATAACTCAAGGCCATAAAGGTATTCCATGGAAAGAGTCCATATTAGAACTCTGGAGTTCCTAGCTCCCGGTCCTGGCCTCAATACAAACCTTTCTTAATTGCAGTTGTTTATATGGATATATAAATAAAACCAAAGGATTCTTACACTGGTGGTCACTCAGTAGAGTAGCAACGAAGTAATGTGCCAGAGCTTTGTAATGGTCTGATTTTATTTTTGCCATATTTGACCAGGTATAAGGGACGTTCGCCTTGACTGGTGCCTGATTCATTGCAGTGTGAACAAGCGTGTAAACCTCTCCAACCTAAAATAAAACACACATCTAGGTATGAGAAGTTACCTTTAAAACTAGGAGCTCTTTTATTAGCAAGAGGGGATATAATAACCATCTACAAATATTTGAAGGCTTATTTACACCACGGAGAGCAAGAGGAAATTTTACACTGATACAAGGACTAGGAGGGATGAAATTAAAAGGAAAATTGAAGCTTTATCTCTGGAGATATTTAAAACTAGACTGAACACAACACTGTATATTGTATAGAATAATCCTGTATGGCATTGAACTAAATCATTTATTTGGTCTTTTCCATCTCTAATTTCTATGTCACAATATGAAATATAATATAAATATCCTATATAACAGGGGTCGGCAACGTTTGGCACACGGCTCGCCAGGG